TTTTGATATGTCAGTTTTCGGTCGACCGAACCGGTCGACCGAACCTGAGTTCTCGTGCTCACTGTGCGACAGAGAGTCTGTCGGTCGACCGGTCCGGTCGACCGAAAACTGTCCAGTATAGTTCCAACGGCTCTTTTTATTACCGTTGCCTTGGACTGTTTTGTCTTTTTGTTTGGGTTTTTGGCTGAGTTTTGAGAGGGTATAAATACCCCATTGCCTTCAGCTCTCCAACTAGCTAAGATAGTTTTAAAACAAGTTTAAGAAAGTTTTAATCAAGGGTTTAAGTTTGTTTTTAGTGTTTGTTTAAAAAGCTTTTAAGCATTTACAAGAGTTTGGTTTGTGGAGCAAATTTCACAAGAGCAAGTGGAGATCATCTTTGGTGTTTGGGCATTCAACTCATCTCTCTCTCACTCTTGATCTATAGAGAAGTTTTCCTTAAACTCAATTCTAGCTATTTATTGTTTTGATCTTAATTTCCATAAGCTAGATTTCTATATTGAGTTTATATTGTTTTATCTCTTTGATCACACACAACCTATTGAGCTTATTGTATTTACATTCATAGTATAATTTAGGGTTGTGGGTTTGTGACATTGAGAGTGAGCTTAATTGAGTTCTCATCTTGTTTAGAGAACAATCAATTGATTTATATTATGCTTAATTGTGAGGATTCACTTGTAATACACTTGTACACCGAGAGAAGTGTGTGGTGAGAGACGGGGTCGAATCCAAGAGGAGTGGCGTCGGTTGACGTGCCTAGGGAGAGGTTGTAACCGAGCACTTGAGGAGGAGGACACGGGCTAGGACCAACACTTAGTGTGTGAGGTGTGATTACATAGTGATTGTATTGTGAGGTGTAAACGTTGTTCGGGTGAACGTAGAAAACCCGGTTGTGATAGTGGAGATCTCCTCGAGGTGAGGAGCGGAGACGTAGGTCAAGTGGTTAGACCGAACTCCGTGATCATATCGTTTTGTTTGTGATTGCATTGGCGTTCTTATTCTTGTTTTCATATCTTATATCGCCTTTGTGTATTGCTCATCATATTACCCTATCACTTGTGTAGATTGTTTATTTTACCCTTGTGTTAGTTCATATATCCTTGCTCATATATTTGTAATATCTCATTGATAGGATATATTCATTTGTTCATATTGCTTATCCTAGCTTACGTATCTTGTTGTATTTTATACTTGCTAGGATAACTTATTAATTAGTTTTAATTGGCATTTAATCGGATTAGATTAGCATAAGACCCTAATCACCCCCCCTCTAGGGTCTAACAATTGGTATCAGAGCTTGGTGCTCTTTGATTTAAGGTCTAATCGCCTTGAGTTAAAGATCCAAGTTATCTTTTTTGTGCTAATCTAGTTATGATTGCATTTGTCTTGCTTGCATATGTTCCAGACCGGTTTCCTTCTACGGACATGCCTTGGTTTGGCCTCGGACATTCTGGTGGAGATTCTCTCAAACACCGAAACTCTTCTTGGGGCTTTAGAACAGCAACATTCTGATAATACCGCCTCGATTACGTTGGCACACGGATAGTGAGAATCCGTGTCTCGAATCGAGACTTATCAGTACCCCCGGCCCTATAGTACAACTCGTCAGTTTGATAACTGGAGCAACCCTTAGAGTATTGGCACGGCTTCACTGGTATAACATCATCATCATCAGACAAATGTGTTTCCCTCTGAGGATACGACGCTTTATTGGCGTCTCCAAAAGTCACTCGTTCAGGTTTACGCTTTTGCGAGCATGAACACCTAACGGGCTCTTGAACTTCAACCCGTAATCCAATGCGGTTGGTAACAGGGGTTTTCCCTTTATTATCTTTTTTAGGGGGATTGGTACGACCCCCAGTCTGGATTGTTGTTTGGGGACCTTTCAATGGTCCTAATCGCTCCTTCATGGGTGCTTTACCTCGATCTTCCGATAAAGGACCGACGCGACCTTTCAAAGGAACTCTGGATCCTGTGAAACCTACGTTATTATCGGCTCCGTCGGAGGTGCGGGGACAGGGGAAACAGGATCTGGAATTGAAGACGGCCGGACGGTAACTTCGTCCATTTTTGTCTTGAGCGCTGGTTTTGCCTTTGGTACCCACACCTGCTGGTGTCTAGATGGCTTCTTAACCGTCTCTTCTTTTTGCATCTCTTTCGCTTTCTACAGAAGGACTCGGGTATGCGCGAGCAATGCATGGCGTTTCTTGATTCGCTCTTCGAGAGTAGAGCGAGTCTTCTTGACGCGGACCCATTCGTTCGTCTCCGCCTTAGAGGAGAGGCTGGCTGTTCGCCGTTGCCGTTCTTGGCGCTGCCTTGATTTCAGATCCTCATTATAGCGGATCCCATCCATCGACTCCGAAGCTTTGACCAGTTGTTGTGCAAGGCGCTGACACTATCTTTGGCAGCCCTCTTCGACAAAATTGTAGCGCCTTCATCAGTTATCTTCATGGCGGAGGAGGAGCCTGGATATACAGCTTCGACATCTTTGGATGCCGCAAGGACGTCGCGGGGCACGGGTGCAGCGGCAGCGAGGGGATCCTTGACCTTCAAGCCTGAAATCCCGCGTGTGTTTTTGGAAGAGGAGACCTTCCAGCGCCTGCTTGGAGAGGCGGATCTGGGGAAGGAGGAAGAGAGGTACTCTTCAAACTGTTTTCATCGAACTCATATTCGATCTCTTCATTCACACGGATCTTGAATGTCGGTTGCGTCACGATAGCCTCGGCAGCGAGGCTGTTGGCTCCCACTGTGGTCGCCAGTTTGTTTTCGGTAAAAGTTACCTTCATTGCTGAATTCATTATAATATTAATCATTTACAAAGAATTCAAAGTTCAACAAAAGAAAATGAAAGATTACAACTTTCTCGAAAATAACGCAAGATCCGTTCGTCGTTTCTTGCTTGCGTGGGTCTTTAGCTGGTGACGGGGACGTCGATATCCGTGGATTACCTGACAATCAGATCAGATCTAGAACTCCGTCGATTCGCGAAGGAATCTAGAAGCAGAAGCGCTTATCTCGGCAACGGCGAGATAATTGCTCTTCTTAGGATTATCGCAACGGGATAATCCTAAGGATCGGACGTGGGTGGTGCAGATCTGAAGAATCTCCCTCTTTAGCTTTGAGGAACTCGATCAATCTTCAATCCGACAGAGTTTCGCTAATTCTCCAAAATTCCAGATCTGAAAAATGAGGGCCGGAGGCCTGTATTTATAGGCTCGGGGGAGTTCGGGTGGTTGAAATAGCACCACGGGCTGTCTTTAGGCCTGGAGACACCCCAGGGTGTCTCAGCGAGGCCGAGACACCTCGGGGTGTCTCAACTCAGGCTGAGACGTTCCGTTTTGTATATTTATCCGTTTCTGCCGTAACTTCTTTGTCCGAACTCGGATTTGAGTGATTCAGAGTGCATTGAAAAGCCGGTGAGGAGATCTATAAGCTCCGATGATTGGGTCATTGTGGAATAAACTGAGATACGAGAGGCGTTTTCCCTTTTTGTAAGCGACGCGGGGCTCCTGATCAGTCTGTATCCTCGTTATTCCGAAATTCCGTTACTTCACGTAGTTCGTCGATTCACTTCAAGCATTCATCGACGTCAATCAAGATTCTGTGACTTGGGTAGTGACGTTCCTCATCTCTTCTTAGCTTTGAGCTGCTCACGGAGACCTATAGACAATTTTCGATGCCTACAAATATGATAGTGAAAATATAGTTATTACTCCAACTATTTCTAAAAAACACATGGAGAAAATAAACAAGTATCCAAATCAGTTGAGCATCGATCGTCGTTCCTTGATTTTTTTTAACGGTTTCTCTATAGAGTGCCCATGGGCACTCTATAAGAGAGGAGAGAGAGAAATGAATGAGGAGGGGGGTCCCCTGATTTGCATTGGGATCCTCTCCTCATTCATTTCTCTCTATCTTTCTGATCTCTTATAGAGTGTCACTCTATAGAATAACTGTTTTTTTTAGTACGGTTTTATCCCCTGTATGTGAAAAATGCAAATCAATAAATAAGCTGGGTGTATGTACCCCATGTGCCCCTCCGTTCCGTGGCAAAGATAGCACGTGCTCGACGGACACCAGCGTTCTCGCACACGTGTCAATCGAAGGCCCGAGAGATTCAATCCTCCTCATCTTTGGCCCCTCAATTTGCTGGGAGCTGTTAAGAAAAGATCACAACCCCACTGGCTAAAAGGGAAACAATAGGAAAGTTATGTATATACCCGCCTTTTGAGAAATATTTCTTTCCATATACGCCGCAAACTTTAAGTCTTAATTAATTATATATGTCTAGTTTCCTTCTCGTTTCAAATCTTGGAATTATTTTTTGCCACTTTGGTACAACGTGATAGTAAGGAACAATAAAATTGAGATTCAAATAATCATTAATTTTATTTGGCAAGGGGCCCCTTGAATATTTAGGAGCATTACCATATTTTCTGTACATATTTGTAGAACTATATCTTTTGATATTCATAACAAAATATTGTGCCTTTCTTATATATAATAATTAGGGGTTTGCTACAGAGACCCAAAATTTGGGACCAATAAGGGGGACAAGTGAGGTGTCCCCCTTAATGATGACTAACTCATTATCCAATAGGAGGGGGACACCTCACTTGTCCCCCCTATTGGTCCCATATTTTAGGTCCTTGAGGAATTTTTCTAATAATTAATAACAACTTTCTGAGTTTTGGAACATGAGAATAAAAGGACATACCAACAAATTTACGTTATGTTTGTACATAAATTAACAAATAACTTCCAAAGTGGGATATATATATTTTTTCAATAAATAAAAGAGAATAGTGGAGACCCCAGTCGAAATGGACTCCATAATAGTAACATACTACAATTTTAAAAGGACGTGAACCTTCGTCTTGCGTCCCTTCATTCCCTAATGCATACAGATCATTCCTTCCTATAAATAGAAAACATTCGATCATTGATTGCAACATGAGCAAACGGCCCCCCAACAAGAGAGAGACACGGAAAGGGGGAAAATGGCTACTGGAAATCTTTTTCCTTCGCTAGTGATCTTAAAATCAATAAAAATATTTCTCTTTATAGTGTTTTTAGGATGGCTTATGATTTGGGTCATGTTGCCGACCAACACTTATCGAAACAAATGGACTCCAAAACTCCGCGCTGCAACAAATTCTACGTACTTTGGTCGACAAGGTCACAGACCTAATCCAGTTCTTGGACGACCCCGCACCCCCCCCCCCCCCCCACCCCCACACCACGCGGGGATATTTTCCATGCTTTTATTTCTTGATATCTATGTTTTTGTTGCAGGACAATATGTTGATATACACTGTTCCGGTACTACTACTAATTTCTGTGTTGGATGCGTTTACCTAGACTTGTTAAAGAAGAGGAATGATAATAAGTCGTTCAACAGTAAGTTTTCTTCCTTAATATATATATATATATATATATATATATATATTATATATATATATATATATATGATGAGCAATATTGTGATGGTGATTAAAAAAATATTTAATTTTACTTTGATTAATGCAGTGGTAAATTGAGTCGTAGTGGTCTTGATTCATGGAGGAAGCCGGTGATTGTTAAGGGGCCTCTTGGGATATTTACTGCAATGGAGCTATCTTTTTGCTTGATGTTTCTAGCGTTGGTGGTTTGGGCGTTTTCGATATACCTCAAGAATGGCTTTGCTCGTATGACAAAAGAGTCCGTGGAAGAAGAAGGGCTCAAAA